TAAGGACGCAACATTCACGCAGCCGGCGCAGCGGCTCCGCAACCCCCCCGGAAAACAGCTCGTGCCGACCGCGATGCAACGTGCGATTGCTTGCCCCCACGACGCCTCCTCCAACTGCCTACTGCCCCTTGTCACATCGCGTGACATTTAGTTACAAAAGCTGACGCATGGTGCGGCCATCCCATAAAATGACCATGCTACTCTACCACTCATCATCTTGTGTGACACCCCGCAACCTCAGGAAACGCCCTTTCTTCGGGAGGCAGCTTTCGAGCGCTAGGGCTTCAGCTGGTTTGGCAGCGGTGTTTGAAGACTGTCATGACTATTGCAGAGGTGAATATGACAATAATAGTGTACTGTACAACAGATGATGAGGTCGATGGATAGCATTTGCGAGCCTCGTTTGGAGTTACGCTTGCCGCAATTTGGTAGAGTGATGTTTCGATGCGAGAAGCCAAACGCCGAGCCAATTCGAGGCTTGGGACGTACAAGCCGCCTCATACTTTCTGTGCGGAGCGCTCCCCCAAAGCGTTCGAATTCATCTAGCCGTAGAAGGAACGAAAAAGTTCCTCACGCGCGAGAGAATGCTCGGATCGACTGCCTCGCCTGCAGCCTTTTGTCGACGGCGTTTCATCCTCGATCTGAATTGGCGCTCAACAATTTGAAAAATGATTGCGTCGAAAGCCCCTTGAGCAAAGACGAACCATCGAGAGATGGCTCTCAACGCGCCATTTGGGTCTTTCGGTCTGTGACCAGGTGCGGGATCCGCAAGATCCGTGATGATGCGAATGATGGAGACGGAGAAGAGGAGACAGTAGGCGGCCGGGTAGAGCAACATCAAGACGCTAGCTTGACGATTCAGTGTGCTGCCCAAAGATTCGACGTGGTGCTCGTCGACGGTGCTGCTGCTGTTGCTACCAAACGTAGTTCGTCCGCCCTCGACATCTTGCCGCGCAATACTTCTACGCCACCATCTCGCCGGTGAGGAGCGAGCGCTTGTCTCTTTCAGGTGACGGGATTGCTGGCCCGTTGCTGTAGCTGGCGTCTTGCCGCCGACGGCCATTCCCCACGTCCAATCGTCTCCAAGCGCTTGCTCATAATGTGGAGCAGCTGTTTTCTCGCCGTCGGTAGCCTCTTCAACAAGCCCTGTAGCGATGTTGTCTTCTGCAGCTCCCGTCTTTGCGCCCGAGGCGGCGGCAGAAAGACTCGGGGAGTGGGGCAAGGAAGGCAGGGGTGTGGGTCCAGAGCTCGTAGGCGGCCGGCTAGTTGCAACAGGCGAGAAAGTGAAATGTCTCAGATGCTCGCGAGGCGCGCTTGTCATGTTGAAGTCCACGACATCTCTTCTAGGCCTCATCTTGCCGACTGGCGACCAGGAGTCTTGCCAAGTATCGTCGGCAAAGTCTGCATCCTCGTCTGACTCCAAGTCGCCTGGAGCAGAGGTGCCCAATCGACGCGACGAATGGGTGACATCT